ACCGACTCATCGACCACGTCCAAATGGCTACAGATTCCTTGCTACAACAGGTCCCATCCGCAGAGATCGTGATCCTTGGCGATTTTAACGCCCACCATGCCAAATGGCTCGGTTCACGTTTAACCGATCGTGCGGGGAGATCTGTTTATGATCTCCCTCCGCGGTTGCGTTCTGCAGGTTGCCGCCGTGTTTGGCATTACAGGTCGGCGGATTGGGATGGAATGCGGTCTTTCTTTGCATCCTACCCATGGGGGCGGGTTTGCTTCTCGCCGGATGATCCCAGCGCTGTTGCTGACTCTGTCACTGATGTGGTGCTACAGGGAATGGAACTATTTATTCCATCATCTGTGGTACCCATCGGAGGCAGATCTCAGCCTTGGCTTGGTCGCTCCTGTAAGACTGCATTACGCAGTAAGCAGGAGTGTTATCAAGCCTGGGCTGCGGCTTCGGCGACTCGGGATGTAAACACCAGTTCACTTAAAAAGAAGTATAACGTCGCCTCCAGGTCCTTCAAAAGAGTTATTGCCAAGGCAAAGTCAGAGCACATAGGCAGAATTGGCGAGAAACTAGTTCGCCTTCCTTCGGGAACCCGTGCATTCTAGTTTCTCGCCAAGGCTGTCCAAGGGAATTTCTGTAAGCCATCACTACCATCTCTGCACAGGGAGGACGACTCACTGGCCCAAGACGCAAAAGACAAAGCTGACCTTTTAGGCTCCCTTTTTGCGTCCAACTCGACTCTTGATGACGGGGGGAAAACACCGCCGACCATCCCGCGGTGTGAGTGCTCCATGCCGGATGTGCTGTTCTCACAGCGCTTGGTTCGCAAAGCACTTTTCTCCCTGGACATCCAGAAGTCGAGTGGGCCTGACGGAATCCCCCCAATTGTGCTGAGGACGTGTGCTCCGGAGTTGGCACCGGTCCTAACGCGTCTTTTCCGGTACTCCTACTTCCAAGGCGTAGTCCCGAATTCATGGAAGACAGCTTTTGTCCACCCGATCGCGATCACCTCCTTGTTCTCCAAAATAATGGAATCCATTATTAACTGCCAGCTCATCCGGTACCTTGAGGATCACCAGCTGATTAGTGACCGCCAATACGGTTTTCGTCGGGGTCGATCAGCTGGTGATCTTCTGGTCTACCTGACCCATAGATGGGCGGAGGCAGTAGTCCAAGGGGGAGGCGTTGGCCGTTAGTCTGGACATTGCGAAGGCCTTCGATCGGGTTTGGCACAAAGCGCTTCTTTCGAAGCTCCCTTCCTATGGGCTTCCCGAGAAATTGTGCAATTGGATCACCAGCTTCCTTGCAGATCGGAGCATCAAGGTCGTTGTAGACGGTGCATGTTCTGACTACAAGCCTATTAATGCTGGTGTTCCACAAGGCTGTGTGCTATCACCAACGCTGTTTCTTCTGCATATCAATGATATGTTGCTAACTGGTAACATTCATTGCTATGCGGATGACAGCACTGGTGATGCTCTATACACCGGCCGTGCCAATATTTCTCGGGAAAACGTCGCCGAGTACCGGAACAAACTTGTGTCTGAAGTCGAGTCTTTGCTGAACAAAGTCTCGGATTGGGGGCGACTAAATCTAGTCCAGTTTAATCCTCAGAAGACACAAGTTTACGCGTTTACCGCTAAAAAGAACCCCTTTGTCGTATCTCCTCAGTTTCAAGGCACTCCCTTTCTTGCCTCAGCCAGTATCGGTATCCTCGGAGTCGACATATCGAGTGACGTGCAGTTTCGTGGTTACTTGGAAGACAAGGCCAAATTGGCCTCTAAAAAGCTTGGCGTGCTCAGCAGAGCGGGACAGTATTTCATGCCGGCACACAGCCTGCAACCTTACAAGGCGCAGGTTCGGCCTCACATGGAATACTGTTCCCATCTCTGGGCAGGGGCTCCCCAGTGCCAGCTTCTTCCACTTGACCGCATCCAGCGCAGAGCGGCTCGAATCGTCGACGACCGAGCCCTTTCCGATCGGTTTGATTCATTGGCACTGCGAAGAGATGTTGCATCCCTTTGCATTTTCTTTCGCATCTACCATGGGGAGTGCTCTGAGGAATTGTTCGGATTAATCCCAGCCGCCAAATTTCACGAACGCACATCGCGGCAGAACTCCCGATACCATCCACACCATCTGGATGATTGGCGGTCCACCACTGTGCGATTTAAAAGATGTTTTCTTCCTCGCACGACTTCCTTGTGGAATCGATTACCATCAGTGATTTTTCCAGACCGATACGACTTAGGGACCATCAAGAAAAGAGCGTACTCCTTTTTAAAAGGCCGGCAACGCATCTGCAATTCCCTCCCTGGTGTTGCAGTTGTTCATGGGCGGCGGTAGTCACTTACCATCAGGTGAGCCGCATGCTCGTTTGCCCCCTCTCCTATAAAAAAAAATGTTATGTTGTCTGACTATATTATTAACTATAATCTACTTCGTCATTGTTTATGCGTTACACATAATACTTAGTAGTAAGTAGCTTTGCTTTATTATGCCCTGCAGTGGGCGACAAGGAGCTAATGCTGAAGTAGTTTTGCACCTATGAAGTATTTCGTTTAGTAAAAAAAGGGCCCCAATTTTATTTTTGCCCCGGGGCTCTTGGTGACATAGCTACGCCATTGTCGCACAGTAATGATAGAACCGCTTTTCAGTACCATATTGCATTTCATTTTGAGCCGTAGTAATGGCTAGCGTATTTTATATTAATATTTTCATAGGGTCGCTTATTCTGCGATACGAGTAGCTACATTTTTGGAACGTAGCCAATTCTATTATCTCATATTTCATTCCTTTCAAGATCATATTAGTGTTCTTCATGATCAAATAAATTAATGATAATAATTTATATAATAAATATGAATCACAACTGTTTTCATACAAATTCATACAATTGAATGATGGCTAATAATTTTCTGCTCACCACATGTCGCTAGTTGAAACTGAGGTAAAGTTTTTTGTTACACAATGTCATTTAATTGAGCAGTTAGTTTGAAATAAAAGTCTTCAGTTTCTAAAGAATTATATTAATGCACAAAACAATGGCTAATGCCTGGTTTGCTCTTTTTTTTCACAGTTTAAACTTTTTTTTGATATTTCCACTTTTATGAATATTTGTGGTTTGGTTAATTTATATTTAATCTTATTAATATAAAATATAGTTAATAGTACAGAAAGAAAGATTAACCTTTACATTTTCCGAACAAATTAACTTCTACGTTTTGAAATCTGTCAAATATTATACCTCACTTTTAAGAGGCGTCGCCCTGGTGGCAGAAAAAGTCGTCATTATAGATGTGTGACAAGAAAAATACTAATTATCTATTATAATTAATTCGTATTTTTAATATAAAACGTATCGTAATTTAAAACAAAGCTGTATCGTATAAAAAAAAATCTATAATTCTTTGACGTGAATCCGAAAATATTTAATTTAAGTTAAAATTAGAATTATCTTGTTATTGTATATGACTCTCCAACTTTGCCCTTTAATTTCAGAAATTTAAATGTCACTGTATTATTATTTACTTAAAATGATTACGGTGTTCGTTTGCTCCGAGGCAATTTCTCATTTATAAATAATTTCCATTTATTGGAGCTTGGTGGGCGGGTATGTATATTTTCTTAATAAGAATTTTCCTGTTAACAAAAATGCTTTTAGTCTATTCATGATGTGACGATGTGTCGACCATCAGGTGTTGTGTAAAAAATTTCTTGAATGGCATACCGGTAACTACAGCGGCGACTAGCAGCTGGGTAAGGAGATGTCATCAGTCTATTTAGTAGGGGTCACCCTACACTTCGCTTACCGATACGAGATTGCAAATTGTTCAACTAGGTTAGTCCAAATTTAGACCTCTCTTATTACAATCGGTTCAGCCATTCCGAAGATTAGCTCGGACAAACGAGAATTTAAAAAAAAATGCTTACTCATGTCTCAATAGTATGCAAATATTTTATACAAAAATATTAACAAACAAAAAATAATAATTATAGAGAAAACTCTCAAAACGCGTTATAGCTCACAAATTAGCGAAACCGGACTGAATATTTTTTGTAGTTTATGGCATTTTGACAACATTGATTCTGGTGACAAGTTGTACTGAAGGCACTTGAGTAAAGAAACCGACCAGAGGGGAAGCTACATACAAACGACTCGCGGCGAATACATAGCCCAGCGATGTGTGCGTGAGCTCTCACCGACAGATTCACCGACGCTCCGTCGGGGTACAAACCGGTTTGCGCCGGCTCAGTCAGAGTATCCATGAAAGGGCTGTTAGTCGTGCGCATTTAAATAAATAGACCAACAATATTTCGAAATTTTATACATCAATTAATTTATTAAGTTTTTTTGCAATTATTAAATAATCAGATTTAAGTATTTTAATTAAAATAATTAAGAATTAAGTTATTATAAATTTATATAGGTAAATAATAAGTGTTTTGTATAAGCAAAAATTTCTAATAGTTGTAAAGTATACTTGAATAATTCTAGAGAATTTTTTTTTATTTTTTTTTAAAAACGTTACCCCCACACTAGGATTTTCCCCTGTGTCGTGGAGGCAGTTTACAAACATAAATTGCACAAGGACAAACATCCAGACCCGGAACAATTATTTGTAGGCCATACAAATACTTGCTCCGTGCGAGATTCGAACTCGCGGCCCCCAGCGCAACAACTGATTGCTAAGCCACTGCGCCACGGAGCCGTCATAATAACGATATTTCCTTTTTTTGTACTCGAGAGATCAAGTGAATTAACTAACTTTTTACGTATTATATACAATAAAACTAGGTAATAACATTGATAGGTAAGTGAGAATGTGTTAGACAGGTACGTCGCCGAGTGATGAAGTCGGTCTCACCTACTTGAAACGTTAGTCCGTTTAACCCTGACAGTGCTGCAGATGGCAGGATATCCTACGTAATAAGGCTAAATGTGTGACTTTATCCACCCACTTTAATATAGAAGTAGTTTGCTTCCTGGGGAAGGATATAAGCTACTTTTTGCGAGTCGCGACCCCAGGGGTGAATACCACTGCATTATGGTTGGAATACAATCGCCAGACATTGGTGGGGGTGATGGGATTGGTGTTGGTGGAAGTAGTGCTGGTGTTGGTGGAAGTAGTGCTGGTGTTGGTGGAAGTAGTGCTGGTGTTGGTGGATAGTGTAGCCGTTGGTGTCAGTAGTGGTGGAGGTGGTAGTATCGTAGGTAGTGGTAGTAGGCAGTAGACCAACAGTGGCTCCATCACCACCACCATTTTTTCCTTAAATTTTTCACATGCATTATGTGACAACCCTATCAGAATAGGTATACATTTTCGACGTTGTTAAGAAGCTTCCCCCCTGGTCCTTACTCTTTACTCTGTACTGAAGGTATAGAACGCATATCGAAACGTATTTCTTTGCAGTCTTTACCGGTGGGTGTGACTATAGATAGCGACAATGTGGGAGCGAGAGGTGAATATAGACGACGCCATTTTCAATCCTATATTTTAACCGCACGGGTAGTACAACTAGTGCATGTTGCCAGTGATAACATACAAAGCTGAGACATGATGTTTCACAGCTGGACGTATGAGGAAGCTCAATCTTGCTCACAGACTAATATGATGCTTACGCATATCTTGCTCAACGAAGTATAGATCTCTATGATCGGAGTTTCCCTACATGATACATTTTTGTAATGCAGATATCCGCAGAAGAACCAGAGTAACTTAAATAGACAAACCATAGACTTAGAATATATTGGCGATAGACGATACACCATATAGACGATATAACCATAGACTTAGAATATACTGGAGATAGATGGCTGGAGTATAGACCAACAAGGTGTGCAAGGGAGAACAAAATTCCTAATGGCAAAAATGCAAGAGAGAAAAGGATACCAAGTCTCACGACTCTGTAACCGATTTTGAATGACAGATCGGCGCAATTCGGCCCGCAAGAAATAGCTCCTAGATACTTTGTAATTTTTTAAAGTGTAATAGTGGTTATTTTTAGTAAGTAACTTTTTTCCAAAATGCTTACTTGTTCAATGAGTGATTGTGGTGTTAATAAACCTAGCAAGCTAACAGCATAGCTAAGTGGCGAAGCAATCAGCTTTCTAGCGGTTTCTAACGGTTGCCGTAGAGCAATCAGTTTCAAAATAGGAGGTTCAGATGCCTGGGTGATCAGTAATCGATTGCTGAAAACAGAATTTGAAAATTCGAAACCGTTCTCGAGATAATCGTGGGACAAACGGACAGACGGACAGACATCGTGAAATCAATAAACCTAGCAAGCTAACAGCATAGCAAAGTGGCGAAGCGATCAGCTTTGTAGCGGTTTCTAACGGTTGCCGTTGAGCAATCAGTTTCAAAATAGGAGGTTCAGATGCCTGGGTGATCAGTAATCGATTGCTGAAAACAGAATTTGAAAATTCAAAACCGTTCTCGAGATAATTGTGGGACAGACGGACAGACGGACAGATGGACAGACGGACAGACGGACAGACATCGTGAAATCAATAAGTGACTTCGCAAGCTTCGCCACTTAATAATAGAAATAATCTTGATAATTGCACATTTCACAGGTAAATTCTCAAGACGTCGTCCATGTTATGAAGCGTTTATTTTTGGTTTAAATTTATGTTATATTATAACCAGTTTAAAATATAGGACGTTTTTAATTATTTTGTTTATTTTGATATTTTACATAGAAAAAAGTCACGTTGTTGATAATTTGCATGAATTTGATAAATACATTTTTATACAAAATATTTTACATGTACGGTAGGGATTGACTCAACTATATCAAAATTAATGTCGATATTTATCTTGAATGTTTATAATGAATCGATAGACTTGCCTACACAACAAGAAAATAAATCCTCGGCTTGCATTCTAAAATGTAATTTTATTTTGCCGTTTGTCAAACAGATTCCCTCCGGATTCTATTTATTTATTTATTTATTTATTTAGGCTTACCAACTAAACACATACAAAACATTATTATTAAACATTTGCAGTTATAAACAAAATTATACTATATATGTATTTAACTTAAAGGTATGCACAACACTTCAACACGAAATTTAAAATTAGTTATGAAATTAACAGATAATAAAATATGATATAAACACAAAGACTATTCTATGCAATACAGGTAAAATTATAATTTTGGTAGAGAGCTTAACGTTGTATAATTTAAAGTTGTATAATTTAAAGTTTCTATAATTAGAAAAAATGGTTAAGGTTCATTGGACGGCTTGGTTGTAATGCAAAGAAAAACTCAACAATTTTCAGCAAGCATTTTCTTGAGAAGTATAAAAGAAAAAGTAGAATAAAAACAATTTTATTAAAAGAAGTCATTTCTACATTATTTGTACCAGTAAGTAAAATATTGTTATAATAACACTTCAAAATTTAACTTTCAAAACTTTAGATGAATATAGATAAAGGTTGAAATTTTGAATCGTTTGGCAGGAGGGGGGGCATGGGAAGGGGTGAACGTCCCCTTACTCCCGACACCACTCCCATTAAAAGGTAATACACTGTTACTGAGAAAAATCAAAAAGAAAATCCCATCGACCTAACCTCAAAATGATAACATTTATCGAGGGAAAGTCCCTGTACCCTTTCCTCCTTGCGGAAAAGTATAGATTTTTTATTTTATTTTTTTATTTATTGATCAAAGTGTTCATACATATTTTTTTTATTTGTACCATTAAACCAAAAATGGTTTGTATTGGTACTCACATTCGCAACTACCGCACTGCTTAACATTAAATAATTAGTTAATCTTAACAGTAATCAAAAATATACTTTAAAATATACCTCCTTTATTGTGTAAGTGGTAAGCACCCATTTGCAGTTTTTACTTGGGACGTTCCGGAACTGAGCGCCACCGACTTGAGCGCTCACTGCTTTTGTTGTGGAACCTGTTCTATTAGACTAGACAGTGCATACTACTAATTATATACAGGTTGTTTCACTAATAAGTAACTAAATAATAACTATAATTCTGATTCATTTTATAAGACAAAGTTCTTTATATTATCGTAATAGTATTTTTTGAGTTTTTCTTTATAGTTTTTTGTGTTTAATTCTTTTTGGATGTTTTGCGTGATGTTATTTAAAAGAGTTGGAATTAAAAATTCTATTGTTCGCCTACCATAGTAATTTGAGATCCTAGGCACATTTAATTTTTGTTTGGTAATATTTCTTGTAATTACTTTATGGGATATGGGCACTTTGATGATTTTATTATTGAATTGTTCAATTAAGAGAGTCATGTGAAATTTCATCTGCATGGGTAATATATTGCAGTATTTGAAAAGTTCTAATAAGTTATCTTTATATTGTTGTTTTATTTTTGAGGTACAATAAGTTTAAGTAATCTTAGTTGTAGTTTATATATTTTTTCGGTATATGACTTAAAGGTTCGCCCATAACTTGAAATTCCGTATGATATAATTGACTCAGCTAAGGCTTTATACATATTGAGTAGGATATTATATGGTACTTTAGGTTTTAAAATGTAGAATTTAGCCAATATAGCTCGTAATTTGTCACAGACATAATCTATGTGAAATCTCCAGCTAAATCTATTATCTACAATTAATCCTAAGTAAGTGTGATGCGTTACTTGTTCGATTGCCTCACATTTACAAGCCCTAGATGAAATTGATTTGTGCAGACATCTGTGACTGTGAGCAACCACCTTAAAATCCGTGTTGTGTTTTATATAGTTAGAGTGAACGTGAATGATTTTGGTATTATTTGCATTCAAGACAAGTCCCGCATCATGTGCCCATTTGGATATTTGTGTAAAATCTTGTTGTAACCATTGCGCTGCTTCTTTTAGGTCCTTGCTGGTAGCCAAAATACACGTGTCGTCCGCGTATTGATAAACTGAACAATGGTTGACGACATGTTCCATGTCGTTAACATATGCTAAATAGTGCAAGGGTCCAAGCACCGAACCTTGAGCTGTTCCTTTAGTAACATCGATAGCATCACTAACTTCATCACAGATTTTAACTTTATATTTACGATTATAGAGGTAGTCTTTGCATCACTTTAAAATCGGGCCACGTACACCGGTATTCTCTAGTTTTGTCAAGAGCGTATCGTGTCGAAGCGTATCAAACGCTTTGCTGAAATCTATGAATAGCAGGATAACGTGCTTTTTGTCATCTAGCAATTTGTTTACATCATTTGTAAATTTTGATAGCAGCTTAGAGGTAGATTTGTTAGGTTGGAAACCATATTGTGAGTTTGATAAGATGTCATTTTTAATGTAAAAGTCTTGTATCTGATTACCGACGTATTTTTCTACTATCTTGTCAATGACTGGTAGGATAGTAATTGGTCTGTAATTGGCATAATCACTGTGACTGCCTTTTTTATAAATCGGTCTCACAATACCTATTTTTAATTCATCTGGGTACTTTGCTTATTCATACTATTATTTATTAATTTGACAATAACTCCTATCATCTTATCACAGATAGATTGTATGTCGACACATCGAATATTATCCATACCAGGAGCTTTATTAGTTTTAAGGTTTTTCACAATCTTCATCACACTTTTGGTTGAGGCTCTTTTGAAATACATAGATTTATTTTCGGGGAACATATATTCTGATTCATCTAGAAGCCTTTGGTTACATTTCGGTAAGATTTTTTTCACACAATTTCTAAATTCTGTTGCAAAGTTATTAGCTATTGATTTTGTGTCAATATTGTTCTTATTAAATGCTTTTAATATTGCCTCATCAATTGAGTTTTTGTTTCGACCAGATAGTGTATTTAAAATTTGCCATAGATTTCTAAGATTCATTTTATCACTATTTATTTGTTCTATACAATATTTATTTTTACTGTTTTCAATTATTTTACGTGTCTTATTTCTTAATTTATTATACTCTAATTTTTTTAAATTGTCTGTAGAATCATTTTTCCATTTGATGAATAATTTGTTCTTCTTTTTACACATATTATCAATTCTACTATTTATCCAAAGATATTTATTTCTGTTACTAATTTTATTTCTTTTTATTATATATTTTGAATCACTATAACAACCATTTAATTTATTTTTGATACAATCGTAAATTTTACTTGGACACTCTATATCTTTTACTTAGGTCCAATCTAGATTATTAAGTAAACTTTTAATTTTATAATTATTAATTTGTTGGATTATTTTGTATCTTTCTGTATTTGTGTTTGGTCGAATCCTACGCACGAGAGTATAATCATACGATGGTCAGCCACTATAGTTCCGAGCGCAGCCGAGTAAAGTTCTAACGAGCGCGTACGAGTAAAAATGTGATCTATGCAGCTGCGAGTCGTGTTATTACCGCGTATTTCAATTCTTGTGTAATCGGATATCGCGCGTGTTAGACCGTACTCGGACATACTACTAATGTAGTAGTCTCGTATGTTGAACTAAAGTGATCTGTAGTTCAATTGTGTTTTATTATTAGTGTGGTTTTAAGTTGTAATTAGTGTTCTGTAATTAAACTGTCAATTTTGGTAATTCACTCGGCAGTTTTTAATTGTCTCGAACCCCAAGCTCGTAACATTCCCAAGTCACAATGATAAAATTTTTAGCGTATTTAGGTATAGATATTTAGTAGTAATAGTATGATAGTATAATTTCCATAGTATTTGATACTCACAACAGTCGATGCCCAAGTCATGCTTGATGGCCGACGACATTATGCCGAGGGCTTAAATAGCTTGGTTCATCGGCTACAGCGTTAGTCATAGAGAAGAGGAACTCGTGGTTAAGTAATAGCTGCGCAGATCACTAGATCTGCGAGATTAAGTTGCACTTGACGCGGTCAGTCCATGAATGAGTGACCATTTTCTTAACATATCGAGATTGAGAGAATGGATAGTGCATTTGTATCCTCAGACACTTAGTCCACTTCACTGTGTTAAGATCATTATGTTTTTAAAATTCATGCAGCTAAAATGATAATAAGGTTATTATTACTTTATACTTTTCAGGGACAGATGAAAGAATATAAACATGAAGCATGATGAAGCCTCATAAACATATTGGTCTTTAAGCAGAGAAATATTATATAACTGATTCCTACAAGTTTCCTTCCTTGAATTATTAAGTTTACATTTATACTTAAGTTGAATGTTAAAATGAAGTTCTATAATGTGTTTAATTATTAATTACTAAATATTTATAATTATCACAAGTAATACTTATATGAAAAATAAAGCAGCCGTTATGTACTCCTTCCATCAAAACATTTTATAAAATATATAAAATATAAATAAGTATATACTTAGTTAAGTATTTATATCAACAATAAGTTAAAGAAGAAGTTCCGGGGAAACTGCCCACGGCAGTAAATATTTTTCCCCAAACATCATAGCTCGAAAATACAACTTTACGATCTGATTATTGGGGAGTTTTTTTAAGTTTATCGGTAAATTCACCTGGGATTTTATACATTTTAATTGAAATCCAACAAAAGGCAGGTAGGTTCAGATTATTCCCAGGAACATGTTATATGAATACTTTTTTAAATAAAACTAATTTTACGGATTTTATCGCGTATATTAATATACGCGATAAAATCCGTAAAATTAGTTTTATTTAAAAATGTGTAGTGTTCGCGTAAATATAAGAAATCATTATGAATACTTTTTAATTATTTTAGAACTATTATGACGAAATTCAGTTAATTTGTGAAGTTATTCAACTTCATGCACTAAACACTTTTTTAAATCCTTTTACCGCTTCCTTAACAATCATTTTCGATAGTCTTTGTAAGTAAAATATACATCACTAGCTAACGCACACAATAACAAATCAAAATTGGTCACGTGTTTTCGGGCTGTCAGGTGGTCTATACGCCAGTATATTCTATGAGACAAACGCATCAGTAAGCTGAAGTGGCTATGGGTTCGTCAATATAGCTCGAAGAACTAACAACCTATGAGGAAGAAAGGTTAACGAGTAGAAGCCTCATACCGGCAATCGTAGTGCAGAACTTCCCTTCATTTGAGATGATCTGGTAAGACATGCAGCAAGTCAAAGGCACATTGTTACTTCAGCATATTCATCATGAATGGGCTAAAAGCGTCGTTAACAGAAAAACATTAATGAAAATATCTCACTCGCCAAGCCGTGATGTATGTGAGATGTAAAATAACCAGACTGGGAGCGTCGAGCTAGGCTTAAGTTCCGATACGTCAGGTTATGGCAAATTCTCCCCAAGACGAGAGAGGTCCAGAGGTCAGAGGGGTTTTATGGACTAAATATGAAAAAGAAGAAATCTAAAACTTTATTCTCAAAATGACCATAAAGTCGTTTGAAACAGAATGCCGTCCCGCTACAATTTAACATCTCAAAACACTTGCGCTTAATTTAATCCCAGCAAAATTATACGGTTAATATTCGTGTCTGGAGGCAATGCAAAAGTTCCCTAACGCCTAATTAACGCTAGTCCCAATACAATGGAGTCCCGTAGCGAACGCTAGATAATAAGTCACTAAAAAGGCCACATAATTAGGGCTACCAGACCAGATTTCTAATTTTAAGAGACAGCTTTAAATTCAGTATTAAAATAGGGGATTCAAGATTAAAACAAGGGATAAATTATACTATATTTTTTAATTACACTATTAATTAACTTTTAGGGTTCCGTACCGTAAAACGAAATAATTTAATCCTTATAAGATCACTTTGTTGTCCGACCGTTAATCCGTCGGGACCCTTCCCCGCAAGGTCGGGTATTAAGTTGAAATTCATATGAAAAACGCCTACGGTTCATTGAACTTGTAATAAATCAAGTTTATAAGTCATTGCAACCTAATAATAATAACTATGGTATAGGGAAGTGACGACCCCATCGCCTGCTGACGTAACGGTTATGTGACAAAACTGGTCAGTCAGCACCTTGCCTAAAGGTGTTATCGACGGGCCTCGGCAAAATTGAAGGTGCAAAGGCCCGCTGGAGCACATGGCCTCACAATGAAACGGTGCCGGTTCAGGGCGTCTCCCATTAAATTTACAATGGAACACAGAAGACCGTGCTAAGGGCCGCTACCAGGAGGTCGCCAGGGCGCGTCTGGAGCTGGCGCTGGGCGCGACAGAATCCGAACCGCCAGTTGAGCGCGAGGTGCTGCACGACCATCTATCAGCCCCTCGCATCCATCATCCCCACCAGCTGATATGGTGTCGGCAGGGTCTTCGCGGGCCCAGCAATCGGCACCCGCCACTGGTGGAGTACGCCGCATGCGTCAGATAATGTAGATGAATAGTAACGCATTGCGGGCATATTTTAGGGCAAAAGGGGGAGAAATAGGAGGCTTTGCATACCGGGCTACAATGCATCGACCTTTTGTTGAGCTAAAGCCAACTATAACTGTTACCGAGACCAGACCGATTTCGGTATATCTTGCGCTCAAACATATTTGATAGCAGTGAACTCGAATGGCTACGACGTGAGGTATTACCCTCATCGGATGAAAATACTACGGCTGAGGATGCGGCTCATAAGTTGCAGAGCAACCAGCACACGTGGATGCCGCCATAAGTCCCCCAGTTGTGGTTTATTCAGACGATGATGGGACAGTTGCCTAGGTACTAGAACTAGAGCGAATGAGGAGTACTTTGGAAGAGGCGATTAAGTAAACGCGCAGTACGTCTCTCGAAAATTAACCGCGACTTCCCCGCATTACCCTAAGCAAGCGGAATGGGGCTGTCGTGAGGGCTCTAAACTCAATGCTGGTAAACTATTTGGAAGCCAGCCGGGACCTTTGCAAGACAGACTCAATACTATTTAGCGCCGCACTGGCAGTATGCTGTATTATTGGCGCCAAACTCCTCATGGCTGGACGTGTTACTAGACAAAGTAGCGCTATCTCAGCCTGGAGAATAAGAATTGAAAACCGTATCGCAAAGGCTTGGGCCCTCATCAGCAGACTGATATGCTTCAGTTCAGGTAATAAGAGGCCAAGAATTAAGCCACTTACTTCCAGTTGATCTAGAATCATCAAATTTGGCAAGAAGCAAGTAAAGGAAAACATCCGAATATCGTTAATTTGTAGCAATACAACACAAACAATATTCATTTTAAAATTACATTTGCAGTTGAGGCACTGACCATGATGTGGATCGATATGTGGGAGAACATCTTTTCCACTGCAAGGTTGAGTTTTCCTCAATACTACTCACCTTGTTTTTTGAGTAATATATACGGTGCTTACCTTACCTTTATTCTACATATTATATAATTAAGTTTATACGGAACCTTTGGAGCGCGAGTCCTACTTACACTTATTACGTTTTTTATTAAAGAAGTAACATTTAATTTAAAAAAATACCGCACATAACTTACTCGCTACTAGCTCGTCTTTCGATCAAACGGTACGTGAGTACATTGTTGCGTGCGAGCAGGTTCCTATTAAATGATAAAAAACGGGATTATACTATTCCGTATTTTCGCCTGGCGCATGGCTGATAAACAGTATATCCCGTGAACCACGGGACGTCAATTCACTCTACGCATGAAAATATAATTAAGTATAGAATTGTGCCTAATTTTAAATTCAATGCTTTCTCTCATCTGTTCAACAGTTAATAAAAGAGGATAATTATTATGAATTACGATAATTATTGCTTTTGGGGTAAAGGCTTATTTTAATTATTATATGAGTATTTTATTAGAATGAGTGCTAATAATTTTCTGTTCACCAGATGTCGCTAGTTGACACTGAAGTAAAGTTTTTGTTAATCAATGTCATTTAATTGAGAAGTTAGTTTTTAATAAAAGCTTATCCGTTTCTAGAGTATTATATTAATACACAAAACAATGCCTTAGTGGTTTGCACTTTAATTTTTTTCACAGTTTTACCTTTTTTTAATTTTTAGTCTGTGGTTTGGTTTATTTATTTTTAATCTTGTTAATATAAAATATAGCCAACAGTACAGAAAGAAATATTAACCTTTACATTTTTCGAGCAAATTAACTTCCCCACTATGAAAACTGTCAAATATTGTATGTATTTAATTTATTTTTCCATTAAGGTAAATGGATTGAATACAATAGAAGAATTAGAGATATTTGACAATATAGATGTAGATGTCTATGGGTCACAGCAACCACTTACCATCAGGTGGACTGTGTGCTCGCTTGTCACCCTATCCTATAAAAAAATATATTTGGCGGCAAAAATGGGTTATTAGGCTAAGTGAAATGAAAGATGGATGGATGGATACACCGACCATTGAGTGAAACCCCTTGGTGTTCTACTGTAGTTTCAAATCTTTGGCCTCACCAGCGCCAGTCAAGGGACAACTTCTCTCATTCTTCCTCTTTAGGCAAAACACGCCGAAACACCATTCCCGCATTCCTACACGGCCTCCATTTCCACTTGCCTACCGTGGCGGTTCAGGCTTAGCGCAAGGTTTAAGAGTCGTGGTAGATCGCGAGCTCGCTGCATATTTCGCAGTACATGATGTTTGGCCAACCTGGGTTTGGCCCTCGCCAGCATCAATGAAAATGTTAATTGCAATTTTAAATTCCGTATTATCATGTGTTTGGTAGTATTGGTCGACCTCCTATTAGTTGGAATGATGTATGTGTAATAATATTTTTAAATAATTATAATATTTATAAATATTTATTTTATTTCTCAGACATGCAAGTTTTCACACGATGTTTTCCTTCACCGCCGAACACGTGGTAAATCAGCACTTAAAATTGCAATTAACAATTTCATTGATGACGGTGGGGATCGAATCCGGGTTGCTTGCTTGAAACATCTTGATTCTTAATCAGGAAGTATGTAGTCGTCTATTGGCAAACCATCCACAGATAGACTGTGTGATTGTTCCTGTTATGAATACTATGATGATGATGATGATGATGATGATGATAATGATGACCTTGGTTTTTACTATTATGGTGTTCTACTGGTTTAAGGGTTGTTCTGCCCATTGGCGTCTATGTAATAAGATTGAAAAGACCTAACTCGGAACCAAATCTGAGTTATGTGTATTTTGCGCTTGTTGTAGCATTAGATAAGATTAAAAACTAGTGCCCATGATTCGGTAATTAGGTCTCTGGTACTTCGATACATTTTTTTGACCAGCTTGTTATTAAGCTATTCGTATTATATCGAGAAGTAAGGAGTGTGCACTTTTCCTTAAATCCTGATCTAATATTTGTGAAAAACATAAATTTGTATTGTTTTTGTTTTGTAACTGGTCTCGTTTTATAACCATCAAATATAAAGAATCTGTCTTCTAATTTCTCTATCAGTATCAACTCGTGAAATATATCTGCTGAACGTACATAGATTGTTATACAGTTTTAGGGACTATTTGCCTTAATCACCAAGCTTGGCAGGCTGGTTGGCGATTGTAGTACTAGACGTCTTGCATCGTTGACGGTTCACGCTTCAAGACGTATAAGGTCTAAGTATTTCCGTCTAGTGTAAACAAGATATTTATACCGCCATGTATACATATATCCCATTATAACTAACTTAAAATCTATACATTTCTATAATATAATCTGCACATACTCAATGCAATATCCGAGGTGGGTGCGTGTAGAATGCCTTGCGCAATACCCATATTGTACACTTTTATCTTATAGGTCCTTATAAATGATTCCCTTGCCCCTCGGTTCCGCTCACATTCTATTAATAAATGATGGATTGTGAGCGGAATAATCCAGTCTTACGACACCCATAGAATGAAATGGAGTGATAGATTTTTTTTTATACACTGTAACCACACGACTCTATAATCTGTGATAACAGCTAACAGACTATCAAAATTCCACTGCTAACATTGTCCTTGCAGATTGTCAACCGCAGTTTTTTGTAATTTTTAAGTTCCTAACAGGAAGATGCCCATCTCCTGTTTCAGGTTCCCTCAATCGGCGACACGCCCAGAATAATGTGGTGTAGAGAATTCTACACTACATTATGCTGGGTGGTGGCACCACGTAATGTGGTGTAGAGAATTCTCTAACGCCACCGCTATACGCCAAAGTTTACTTTTGCAGCTATATATAAATATTTTTAAGGGCAACGAAGTAGATTCATTAATGATTAATGAAATAAATTAACCATAACCACCTTAACATTAAGTCGAGATGTACTTACCATCTTAATGAAGACACATGTTTTTTTCCTTCCTTTCTTTTAGTTTCTACGGTAATATAAAATGTTTATTAGGTCATGCTCATGCATATTACGAGGCTTCCTTAATAGACAGTACAAGGAAAAAGGTGCACATAAGAAAGTTACTAAAGAAAGTCAGAATTAGAATAAAAGCAATTGTATTGTAAACAAATATTATGTTGGTCATTTTTGTTAAAATGATTTTATTTTATAAAATAAGGGTGACAAACGAGCACACAGTCCACCTGATGGTAAGTGCCTGCTGTGGCCCATAGACATCTACATCTATCTTCGTATCCGAATTTAAATGCAGATGCGTTGTCAGCCGTGAGGACTAAGAGAGAATGCCTCTTTTCGAGTAAAACGGGTCTCCGGTTCTCTACACTCACCATACGAAACAAAGCAGCATTTAGCTGCTAACTTACGTTGGTATTCTGTGAGAGTGTGGTCTTTCCCCGGTCGAGCCGACCCATTCACAGACACACATTCACAGATAAAACGTCCATCAGCATAAATACACAAATGCTGAGTATGTACTCGTAGTAATTTAAGTAGACTGTAAGCTTAGGATTAAGAATTGTAAAAGACAATGACCAGAATAAATTCGCATCTCTCTCTGTGAACACGTAGTTTGTATTTAGTTTTAAAAAAGCTCTCGGCAGCTCCCGCAACTTGACTGGCGCAGCCGGTAGGATCACCGGAAAAGCTGTGCCACCGTTCGTGAATATCGCGTATACAATTTTACTCATTTTCGCGTATCGGCGGACGATCCATACAGCGTGGTGATCCAGCGAACCAAAACAAATTCGTCGAGAATAAGGAGCCGTGAAGCTGATGATGGGCACTGCGGGCTGGTGAGTACGACTCTTCACCTCCTTCACATCCCTTAGTAAACTTGGAATTAGACATTTTCCATTTTGACTGTTATTTGGGTTTCAAATACTAATCTTACGTAAATTTTATAAAGTATTAAGTGTAATAAATATTACTTAAATAAAAATTAAAATAATATTAATTTAATTGTAATACGTACATAATAATAAGCCCCATATCACTCAATAAAGTTATAGAGTATATTATATTAAGTATTATACATTATATTAAGTTCTTATTGTGTCTACATGTGTTTGTTAATTTAGAGATTACTCGACACGTTAATACATAATAGATTATTACTTATACTCGAATTTTCCTTACAACATTTGTGGAACTGGTAGGGTTATAATAAATATTTTATATTATTTTTATTTTTGTGTAGAACCAGTGAATAAATTATTAAAAATGTCGGAAATTAAACTTATCCCTAACGAATTAACTAAAATAATACCAACATTTAGCGGCGATAAGCGCCATTTAAACTTATTTTTGCGTAAATGCGAATATATAATAAGTAACTTTAAATCATCCGATGTGCAAAATGAATATATAATGCAAATCATTACTAGTCGTCTTACGGGCGAGGCTGCGTCGCTTATCAGTGAACGGGAAGATATAGAGACGTGGGCCGAATTCAAGGAATTGTTTTTAACTCACTTCGGCGACCCACGTAGCGAGGAATGTTTAGCCATAGAATTAGAAACTTTAAAGAAACACCAAAATGAAAATTATACAGATTTTTGTGGTCGTATACAATCCGTTAAATCAGTGCTATTATCGAAGGTTAATCAAATTGGTGATAAAAACTTAAAAATAAGTAAAACTATTATTTACAATAAC